CTCATTCTCGTGACTAGAATAAACCACTGCGGCAAAAGCCTCTAATTCCCTAACCTGCTCCATGGCTTGAAGGTATTCATTAGGCACACCATTTCCAATGGAATGAGCCTGTCTGGTAAGCACAGCTAAAATCAATGGAAGCTTTACCGCGTTTGGCTCAACGATTTCAGTAACACGAGCATCTTCAGGCTGAGACGGAATCTTGAAGCTTTGTTGAGCGATCTTTTGTTCAACAAGAGTTGAGAAACCGGCATCAAGAAGCATAGTCAGAACGTGGGAGAATGGTGGAGAGTCAATAAGATCCGAGGTTTCATCAAGGAGTCGTCTTAATGGTGACACAGGGACGATGAAGGTGTCTCAGGCTCCATAGTTTTCATGCCGGATTCTTTGATGACGAAATCCTCTTGGTCTCGAGGAGGTAAGAGGTATTGTAACCAGCGAGTAGCCTGTCTGTCTTCGGGGGTGGCTCCTTCTACCTTTTTACGGACCTCAAGCGTCAATTCGGAGAACTTAGCCATGGTGAGTTCTTCTCTGATAGAAGTGTCCTTGAATACTTCTTTTACCGCAGCTTCAACCTTGAACATGACATCTCTCCACCCTCTATGAAGCAACCACCAGCTGAATGTCAAGTATCGTCTATTCGTCTCGAAATCGTTTCCATAGGCTTGATCTGAATTGTCATCATCGTTGTTTTCCAAGCTTATTGTTGACTGTTCCACGCCACCAGTGGCTAGCGAGACTACACTCGAAAGATAACTGCGACGTCCTAGTAGATTAAGTTGAATCCGTGTGAGTAGAGTGAGAAGAGAGAGAGTATATATCAAAGTGAATGATCGCGTGATAGCTAGCAGATATTAGCAATGAATGTAAAATCGAACTTCAATTATCTTACAGCTAATCTTAAGATCATTCCATAATTGCATCTTCGACCTTTTGATCTTTTGTGCTTGCTGTTCTCCTTGTTGCCCTCCATCTTGTGCTCCATCAACACCCAACTCTAATCCTGAAGGTATTCCGAGTTGACTTATATGCATTCCACTATCACTAAAACTCACCATGCTTCTGCCATCGTCATCGGTAATACTAGGAGGACTGGAACCCCAATCAGATCGACGATCGGCTCCATTTCGTGCCTGCTTCGCAGCTTTTTGTTGTTGCAACTCGTCGGTGATTCTCTCTGTTTTCAATTCTGCAAGAATATTCTCGGTGGCGGTGGGCAGGAGGGCCAAGACGGTGTAAGTACAATCCTCCTGATTTTGTTCAAACCGACGTCGAAGACTAAGAATAAGTGGATAAGCATAAGTCACTATCTCGGTGGGTATCAAACTTTACTTCTCTCGAGCTATACGATCACTACTCATACGTTGTCGAGCATCATGAATCTTTCCTAGCACGTACTGAGTAGCTACATAGCCTACACCAATCACTCCGAAACCAATCGCAAGGGGAGTCCTATTCCTCCTTGCCCATTTGCGAAGGGAATTCATGATTTTGTTCTTTTAAAGAAAAAGAATTAAACTACAATCACATAACGTTGAAGGATGATTGTTTAAAAGCTTGAAAATGTGAAGAAAATGAAATAATATTGAATGTTGAAATGATAAGTTTTAATTATAAAGTTTCCCTCAGGAACCTTGAAATGTGAGGAAAGCTCCCTTTGTTGTCTCTGAAGGCCGAGGATGGTAATTTGCCAGCCGTGCCAGCCACAACTCGGCTGACAGACCCATTGATATACATGTACCGATAAGCATTCGAGTTTACTCCGTACACTATTGCATCTATTGCATAACTCCTTACCCCTCCATGTAAATGCACAAAGGCCAAAACGACCAAAGCTTAAAGTGCAAAGCTTTTATAAGGTGCACGATCGAACTCTGGAAACAACAAACACAAACACAAATGAGAAGACTGAATAGTGGCAATGGACCAGCGCAGACCGCCAGAATATATTATTGAGGTGTTTGCTGACCCTACCTCAGTGAAAGAGGTCATTAGAGGCAAGTAGAAACGGTGTTTTCTTACCTTCATCAACGACTTGTTGCTATTATGCGCCTGCTAACTCGACTCCTATACAGGCATTCTACATACCATTTTCTTCCAACGCTTCTTCCCTTCTATTAGACCAAAGTCTCGCGATGTCCTGGACATGACTCTGCCATACATTGAGAATGTTGAAATTGAAACACTTATCGACCAAAGGACCGCTGCTCTGGTGCGGCAACTAGACACCACTTCGGAAACTGGCGCGAGAAATACTGGTGTTAGAGGACAAATGGCTGTTCAATTTTTTGAGAAGAAACGAAGAAAGGCTTGGTTTACGAAGGGGGTATGTTGATTCTGGAATCCAATTCCGATCATCCGGGTCGCATTCTTTCTATTCAAAATATCGCCTTGCTAATTTGGACGATACAGGAGGAAGAGGTATGTTGGGAACAGTGGACTTTGGATGTCACATTGGCTACTCCGCGAACAGAAAGTGGTAAGGATATCCGAATACACTATTATATGGTTACGACTGGCTCACACCGCGCTCTACAGAACGAGCAAAGGTCAGGAATGCGATGGAGGCTATGTTATTGAAAGCGGCAATGAAGATCGTAACAACAGTCAATATGGAGAAAGATCATATACCACCTATTACCACGAGCGAGGCAAATCCATTTCCTTATCAGATTACTATAAACCCAAGAGCAGATAGTTGGGGGGCTCGCATGAGTTTGTTTTAATACCACAAGATAATATAGGCCTTGTAAATATTGACGTCGGCGTTTTGGAGCTGGATAGAGGATACTTTGGATACAGATACCCAATATGAATTGATTTTATTCGACGAGATCCCATGTATCTCCTTAACATACAGTAAGTGATGTGAGGCACACGATGACGTATTCTACCCACTCTTTCCATACATTTATCCCCAGATCATCAAATGCTGTATGTATATTTGCGGATCCAAATATTCAATACCCGTTCTAAATCGACTTCATTAAAATAGTTACCATTGTTACTATGATCATACCTAGGTATGGAGTTCAACGCCTGTATATTGAAGGGACACTCAGTCATCTGTTGCAAGTCAGTGTGTAGTCACGAGTACAATCGCATAAAACAGGTGCTCGTGCCGATATAAACTTTCTTGGTTGTCATAGTGTTCAATGCTTTATAGACATGCTCAACCATGAGTTGCAAATCAATGTGAAAGCCACAGGTTAAATTCTGTAAGTAAGTGCTCGTGCCACTATAGACTTTCTTAATTCTCATAACATCATAAAATCGTGAATCCATATCACATCAGGCTTTGCTGAATCCCCTTCCCCTTCCGCGTCCCCTGCCGAATCTAACACTACTCGGGACAAATCTCAGTGATGACATGGCTGTTTCTAAACCTTTCATCTGATCGTCTTCTGGTTCAAGAACTGATGCAGCCGTCTCAGATACTTCCATGGCATCATCTTCGGTCTGCGCTGAGGGGACGCTGGATCCACCAGTAAATTCTTGGTTGATGCCTTGATTGTTCAAAGTTGGCTCAGTAGTGGCGGCACGTTGTCTAACTTCTTCAACTTTCGTTTTTGCTGCCGAGCTGTGTCTTCGATGTCCATGGCGTCCTGATCTAAGCATGGAGCTTTTATGATCAATACCATCATTCACAACGAAGAAGTCATACTGCTGAGGGAACATATGTTTATCAATGAGATGCATACGTCTCTTCTGAGGAGTTGAGCATTTCCTATCACAGTCCTCAACAAAACAAGAATACTATTAAAGAATCAGTAGCTACAGAGCATACACACTTATGGATTATCTTACAATCTTTTCTCCTCGGTCCTTCCTAACACTAACCAATGCATCATGATTTTCCTCAATATGAAGATTGAGGAAATGTTCCGAGGGAAGGTTCTTACGACATTCCAAACATCTGTTCATGTGAGACTTTTTATAGTGTACTTCATAGTCATCAAATGAAGGGAAGGATAATGTTCGCTGATGGCCTGGCAAAGAGCACCGCATTACTGTTGGAGCTTCACCGGTCTCCTCACCAAGGTGAACAAATTTGGAGGAGGCTTGAGGCGTAGAATTTGAGGTGGCTTTGGGTTCCTGTATGTCGGATGGATTGGGAGTCTCTATAATCTCTGATTCTGGAGAAGAAGGATCATCAAACTCTTCATCTCGTAAACGTTTTGTCATTGTGTAACAAGATGAAAGAAAATGAAAGAATGTTATAAGATGCGGGGGAAATTACTCTATTATTGAAAAGTAGTTTTCCCTCTGCTTCAGATTCCCCTTCTTTACCTGTAATGATTGGGTATATCCTCACCCACCTGCGGTTAAGATGTCGAAGTAAATCGATGAGATCAAGTGAGTGTAGAGGGTTGAAGATTGAGACCTGGGAGTTGAAGAAAAGTTGTTGCTCTTTCCGAGTGATGTGTAGTGTAACAATGTCCCTCCTGATATTAGATTATACTTGAATATTATTGCTGTTTTTTCCCCGGTGACAACAGATTGTTTGTGTTGTGATGTGCCCTGTGGGAACCTCTGACATACTGGAAGGTTAAGTTGCGAGGTTGTCTTGGCGTGAATGTAAGGCGGTGTACAAAATGTAACACGGCAGAAAAATAAGGGAAATCGTACTAAACTTACCAGTAGGAAACTGGAGCATCACTTCAATCATAACTCATCATCGATTTCTTCCCCTCACTCTCCTCATGTATTCTCATAAGCATAAGGCTCAGAAAGACCATAAAGTCTTTTTGTCATTTCAATCTTGCTTGATTCCTTGAAACGATAATCAAATAGTGAATTATATTTCATCGAATTTGTATTCACCTAGATTTTTTGGCAAATTCCCCAAACTTCAATTTTGTGATCTTCCCTCACATTTATTTTCCCACCAGACTCCATGGCCAACTCCTACAACTATTATTCTGGTGCAGGAAGACAAAAATCAACCTAACAATAAGTCAACCTTGGGGTTCTGTATAATCTCCTGAGGAACTTTAGCTATGGATAAATCTTCTATTCAACAAAACTGGCTGTAAGTTTCTATTGTCGCAGTCGCAAATATTATGCCGCCGATTCATGCTAACTTTCGTCTCCTCAGCGTTGCACAAAAGATTGAAAAGGAGTTACAGTCGCAGCTGAATAAAGATTCCCCTACATTCGAAGATATTCAACATCTTCTCACACAGTCCGTTATTGTCTTCTTGTCTTATTGCACCACTCTAATGATATCAGGTTGCGCATTGCTTGTGAAGCAGTCATCTTTGGCGACTTCGAATATGCTACTAAGCAGCGTGTACAACACCGTCTCTGGGACTCGCATAGTCTGATCAATTCCCGATATCGAAAGCTCGTCGCTCATTACCGTTCCGCCGACCAGAGACGCCGCGCTGTGGAGCGCCGAAAGCTAGAGAAGCACTATGTCGATTTCCTTAAAGAGAGCCAGTTTTTCTACAAGGGATACATTCAGCGTGTTGCCTCTCACTTTGGTCCTCTTCCTGCATTGCAACGCATCGCGAACCGTCTTTCTTTGAGCCCGTTGTCTGTGGACAAGCCTATCAAAGCTGGCAGAACCCTTGAACATCTGCTTAAGCTTTCCTGCCACTTCACCCTACTTCGTCTCGGAGACTTGAGTAGATATCGAAATGACTTAAGAACTAAAGAGCGCAGTTGGGACCCTGCCCTAGGATACTATTCTCTAGCTGAAGCTCTTTACCCCGATTCTGGAAATGCCCACAACCAGATGGCGGTCATTGCTCTCGCTGATGGCAGTCATCTCGATGCATTATACCATTTGTTACGTGCAGTTGCTGTCAAGGAGCCCCATACATTAGCTCGTGGAAACTTGGCTATTGAGTACAAAAAAATATCTACTAGTTGGGAGAAGGAAAGGCAGAGTAGACGTCGCCCAGCGCCCGTCGAGTCTGCTCTTGTCATTTGGTTCGTGAGACTACATGCAAGATTTTACAAGGGTGTGGAATTTTCTACGCAAGGAGAATTAGAGAATGAAGTTTTGGGTCAATTGGTCTCGGCTTTGAAGGATCACTCTTTTGAGGAAACTCTAAACAAGCTGGTGCTAATAAATATGGCTGCAAATTATCTGGCAACCCAGAGGCTTACAGGTAAATTGATTCCTCTTGTCTTGATTTTAGTTTTTTCACGTAGAGATTTTGACATGATATGTAGAAGCAGAGGGTGGTGTAACCGATGACCTCAAAAAGTCTTTTTATTTCCTTCTTGGCTTCAATCTTCAAGTATTCTGCGTCCTGCTACAAGCACTTATCTCAGAGCTTGCCGATGCAGCTGAAGCTGAAAACCTGGAGTCTTTGACTGCCACAGATTCATCTGGCGATTCCTTCGAAAAGCTCAGCCCAGTCGCAATTAGAGTCCTCCCCACCATTCGACAATATTTCGCCTGGATCATCTCTCAACGTCTCCTTCTTGTCGGTCTCGGAGATGGAGTTGACCGGGAGTCTACAGGTCCATTAATTGGTCATATTCAGAGAATGTGGAAGACAGCTGCAGATGCCCTTTCTGCTCTCGTCGGGTTCTTTCCTGTCGCATCGCTTCCTTATCTTTCGTATTTGTTGCCTGAAGACGAACAGACACTCGGATTTAAGCCTCTCCGGGATTTGCCAGATGGTTTGGAAGAATACAGTCTCTACAATAAAGATGATGGCTTTTTGAAAGCTCGCATCTCCGACGGTATCATTCGACAATCCCATAACGAGAATTATGCTCGTATCCGGGATATCTTACGAGCTGGAATGGCTCTCCATTTCGAAAAACCATGTCCAATTATGATGACCGATGATAGCAGATTTGTCTATGGTACTGAAAGCGCTATCGAACCCCCCTCAAATGGCTCTACAATACCAAGTCAGCCAGCGAAATCCACTTACGCTGTGCAGAACGACACGAACACCAGCAACGAGGTGGCTGTAGTATCGGACTCCTTAGGCATTATGGATAATGAAATGAATCGTATGGTAGACGATTTGCTTGAGCCTGCAAGTCTTGCTCCTAGCGAAGATACATCTTATGGTATGAGCAGCTCTACTGCAAATGCGGTATTTGCGCCTATTGGCTTCGAAAGAACACGTCCATTGGCAAGTAACCATATAACACCCACCAAAGGCTTTCCAAGTCTACCTGGAATCTGGGGCTCGCCCTTCACACCCAAGCCTAATGAGCTTCGACCCATCAGTCCCGAAAAGTCATCAAGCTCTGGTGGATTTTCATCAATGAATTACTCAACCAGCAAAGACCAGCTTGCTGCTGTTGCGGCCCTCGACAACATGACCGGAATGCAACGAGGCACAAATGGTGTTGCGAATAATGCAAGGAGCACATTCTCATCTTTTGATGCCTCCACGCCAGTCAACCAAATGTTGCAGGAGTCATTGACGAAGCAGTTCGAACCTATGTCAATCTCATCGTCGGGGTTTTCAACAAACAGCAGCATCTACGCGAACAACTCACCACCGAAGGCATACTACGGTAGGACCTTAAGCCGCCCATCCTATAATGGCCACGATAGCAGTATCTATACAGGTGCTAGCGAGTTTGATCGAAGTACAATGTTACAGAGCTCAATTTGGAACAGTCAGACTGAAAATGACAATTACAACCATACACCCCCCGCTGGACAAGGTCACCGAGGCTGAGTTCAATTCATTATTTTGAATCATTGAAGGTTCATTATAACCCACCAATCTAATTAATGAAATCATCCACATCTTCATCTGATACCCGTCTTGCGTCTGTCGTCACTAACCAGTAAGATGTTTTCACTCTTACATAGTCCAGGTTATCATCAGGAATCATCAGGAATCATCAGCAGGCAGATGACATCGACACATTGTAAGAAGATCACAGTCAGAAGCTGTAACCGAGAGTTATCAAAGCAGATATCAGTAAATAACGTTTTATTGGGTTTCTAAAAAACACGCTAGCTCTATGAATTGATCGTGGAGGATCGTAAAGTCAATGCATCATGCACTACATCATTTCGATTGTAGACGCTCCTGTTGTTGAAACCATCACCCGAACGCCGTCTAGAATCAGAATGGGGAATAGCTTATAGGTATCTATTGGCTGGTAGGCTTGTAAGTCTGCTTAGGGAAGGGGAATCTGCAAATATCGTTAGTCTGTAATCTAGACAATTTGATGAAATTGTACGCCAATTTTTGACCAATGTAATGTGCATGTATGACATGAATGAAAGACTTACGAAGGACCCAACTCCTGAATACTCAACTTAGCCAACCATTGTCCTTGATCAACGCATTGATCGAGGGATTCGCCAGCAACCAAACCAGCAGTAAAGCCAGCGGCGAAAGCATCTCCTGCACCCGTGGTATCGTTGATCAAGTTCTTGTCGATGGCATGGACCGGGTATTCCTTAACATCTTGTCCGTTGACAGCTACAACAGTAGGAAGAGTTCCTTGTGTAATAATAGCAACTCTCTCTCTCTTCTTGTTCTCCTTTGGCAAAGCAGCCAATGCCTTAGCAATCTCCTTAATATCCTTGGACTCAACACCATGGCTTTCAGCCCAAGCCAAAGCCTCAGTCTCATTACCAATGACATAATCCCAGTAAGGAGCAGTGGCATCAAGAGGCTCCTTGAAGAACTGAGAAATGAATGGTGCAGAAAGGGAAAAGACAAATGCCTTGTTGTTCTTAGCGGCCTCTTCAGCAAGAGCTTGGATAGCTGGTGGACAGACGGTCAAATGATATCCACCGACAAAGTAGTGTGTAGCATTCTCAACCAACTTCCAGACCTCGGGGGACTTCAAATGTTCCAAGTCGTAGTGATTGGCAGCACCCAAATCGGTACACATAGATCGGTTGTGGTCAGTGATCACAACACCACAGCGTCCGGTGGGTTGGGTTTTGTCAACACGGTATTCAACACGGAGACCGGCGGTCTTGACAGCATCGTGTAAAATAGCGGCATACTTGTCGTCACCGACTCCACCAAGGAATACAACGCTGTTGGGAGGGAGAATGTATTGGGCTCCACGAGCAGTGTTTTGGGCTCCACCTCCGGCAATCAATTTGGCGGAGTAGTTGTTGAGGAGATCTTCGTAGATGCCGGCGTGTTTCTCTTCAGCGAGGATGGCATCGTTGGGCTTGAGGCCGTATTTGTCGAGAAGGGCTTGGTTTCCTTGGGCTTGGATATCTGTATGATGAAGTTAGTTTCAGCTGAATGGTTATATTGGCAGAAAATGGGTTGAAAGCTTGGATGGAGATAGCTCTTTCCCTTGAGAATGATGGACTCGAGTCTCGAAATTTGCTATTTCGAAGCTGTTGAGAGCTCTGCATGTTGATTGTGCGTCCAAGGGTGAGACATTTAGAAATGGTCGAGGTTATGACTCTACTTACCAAGCAATGGGTTCTCCAAGCAAAGGAGGGCGTATTCTTTAGTTCCCGACATCGTTACTATAGCTCTGATGGTATATTTTAAGTTGTTATATTTTAATGGCGGGGTTACGGCGTGGTGAAGAAAGATATGGTGGGGCTGAAATTGGGCTCGGCTTCCGAGAAACAAAGGCCCACTGCGAGGAACCAATCTTCCTAAGTAAATCATAATGGGAGCCAAGAAGTATTGTTCCCACAGTTCACAAAATAAATGAGGGTGCTTGTGAAATCACAGAATAAATGTATGTCCTTGTGAAATGATAGTCTGGTCATTGGAGATTACGAGTTTCAAGTTTTTGGACTCAAGTTGGTAGAAAAGCCATCAATTCATTTTGTTTAGTGCCTGTTAACATGCCATCACGATCTTCTGATCACTAGTAAATCATGCCAGAGCACACAAGATTGTTTGGTAGAATTCTTTTCTGTCATCCTCGTTGAGATCCATCCCAAATTACAAAGATGCAGGCCCAACATATCCGAAGCAATGAAAATCCCCTCAACTCGCTCAATCCTTGACCTTTTGGGTACCACGTAACAGACCAGTTCTTCTCGCAGCAATAAGACCAGCCTTTGACCTTGTGCAGCGTATCTTGAGATTGTGGATGCTTTACCAATATGTTGATGGTTACCACCCTATTTGTTATTAGCGCTTGATTCTGGCAAGAATGGTAAATTTTACGTACTCCGTGAGGATGGTCAACAGGGTTCATGGCAACACCACGAGTCTTTGGCCATGAGTTACGCTTGACGGCGAACTTGTGCTTAGCACGGGATGCCTCTGTATGAATTATCAGTATACCAAACTTTCTATATCCTTTATTGTCGATTGGGCCTTTCAAAACGTACTCAAGAGAGGTTTGTCGGTTCTTCCTCCACCAGCAACAATACCAATCATTCCACGGGCACTGCTCTTAATGACCTTCTTGGCACCGGATGGGAGCTTGACACGGGTCTTGCCCTCATCAGGGTTGTGTCCGATGACGGTAACATAGTTGCCAGAGGTACGTCCCAACGCACCACGGTCGCCTGCCTTCTCTTCAACGTTGGAGATAACGGTACCTTCTGGAACAGATCCGAGAGGGAGAACGTTTCCGACTGTGAGGTTGGCGTTCTTTCCAGCGTAGATGAATTGACCGGTGTACATTCCTTCGTTGGCGATGAAAGTCTCGGTGTGGAGCTTGAATCTGTATGGATCGCGGAAGACAACCTTGGCGAGAGGAGCACCACGTCCTGGGTCGTGGATGATGTCCTTTACGACACCACGGACGTAACCGTGTCTCTCAGCATAGTCGAGAGTTCGGAACTGAGCTGGTGCCTTGTTCAATCTGGTGTTGGCTGTGAAGATCGAGCCACGGCCCTTTCTTTGGTTGCGTATGACACGGCTGTTTTTCTACGTTAGCAAGAGTTCCAAAGTTCTGCGACTCAAGGTATGTCGTCGTCGATCAAATCCGTCAAAAATTGGCTGCTGAGGGGAAGTTTGAATGCTTTTTCCTCATTTTCAATCGCGCTTATTCCAAAAAGTAGGAAGTAGAGCATTGTAGATAGCAGATTGGAAGGAAACAATAGGAAATCATGTACATACCCCATCTTGACGTTATTGGCGATGGAATGTTAATTGTCGACGAAGAAAGTTCGAAGTTCAAAATTAGGAATATTCAGTGTGGTTTCCTCTTACAGATTACCAGGTTAAGCGACGCACTAGTTCAGAAAATTTGTTACTATTGCCTTATTGTAGTGATGACTAATGTGAGGCCGCCACTGCAAGGATACGCTAGTGGATATTCTACAGACGACTGTCAATACTGACCCAAAATCTACCTCAACATACAAAATCCAATATCATGAATCGTGGCCCGACAATGGAAGACGGTACAATGTCCCAATTAAAGGTAAACATTGAGGACTGGTATCGTTATTTGAGTTGGGTTAGGACTATATTGGTGTCAACCTTGGCTTTTTTCCTCCATCACTTCATCTTGTGTCCTGCATCGCATATTATCTAAGACTGATGTCGTATTAATCGATTCAAGAAGTGCACACGTTCTAGTTGGTGGTATCTACAAGCTTGTGGATTCATTGGGGATTTCCTGGGCCTTTGGATAGTGTTCTGAGGCGATCTTCAAATTCTCCAGCGTTCTATCAAAATGTCTTCATTATTACCACTTTTTGTTGTGATTGTGTAGTACCTCATGACTTTGTGGGTTTTCGAAGTTGATGAATTGCATGGGTGGTGCAGAGTTAAGCCATGTGAGCCATATGCCCTACGCAGCGAGGAATTGCGGGGTGCGCAAATCGCGACTAGATATCAGGCTTTTCAATGTCTAAGATTATCTCAACTATCGGGAATCACTTCTACTCATTGTACTGTTTTACGGCTTGAACTTCACGAATTGGTTTTATTTGCGATTCTTGGAGTTTTGCGGGAGGCTTGTTGTCTCCCTCGCCATTCCGAGTTCCGAGCAACTACCGTGGGCACATTTTCAATGTCCCAAGTTATTTGAACAATTGAGAAGTCGGATTGCTTCCTAAATTGAAGCCGGGCTTTATGCGCGCAAGATACGTGGGATTAGTGTACTATGACTGGTGTCGAGATTTTGTGTCTTTTCCTCCAAGTTCACGTTTCAACCACAGGCACGTTTTCAATGTCAGGAATCATTTCATCGTCTGGAATCATTTCGATATCTGGAATCATTTCAATGCCTGTAATCATTTCGATATCTGGAATCATTTCGATATCTGGAATCATTTCGATATCTGGAATCATTTCGATATCTGGAATCATTTCAGTATCTGGAATCATTTCAATATCTGGAATCATTTCAATATCTGGAATCATTTTAACAATCAAATGGCCTTCATTTATTCAGGATTTGATTTTAGCTAGAAAGACATGACGTTACAGGATTTCAGTTGTGGACACTTGTACATTCGGCCGTCCAGGTACGTTCGTCACCATTTAAACCCCGGGCGCAAGATCAATCACAACTTAGCTTTCGACGTCTTAATCATTACTGTTGAATCCAACAATTCCAACAATTCTTCGTCAGATACAAATTATTATCTCTTTATGTATATATTAATATATACATACGAAAATACAATTACCAATTGTGAAGGAGGGGTTACCCGATTGTACACAGATTCCGCATGGTAACTAGTATGTTTAACAAATTTCCCTATTTTTATATCTTCAAAATTTCGAGCTAGGTGAGTCCAAAATTGGTTCCATTGAGTATCTTGGTAAGCGAGTGTGGGTGGTTTTCCCTTACATGACGTTGCCGAATTTGCATCCCAAGCTTCATACAACAATCCAATGTCTTCTTGAATATGAAACATTGGCAAATGCATAAGGTAAAAGGGATGGGTGTTGCTGTGGGTTTCTTTGGATCCGAAATTTCGTGCTTCGCTAAAGAGGATACTACCTACCGTCCATAATACGTCCGATAATTGCGATGGTTGGGCGGAGCAACAAGGCCAATACTTGAGTTTCGATTTGAGCAGTTATTGTTGGTGGAAGTTGGAAAAGGAATGAACTTTGTGGGGAGACAAACGTGGTATACGACATGGGGTTAGGTCGTATCAAAGAATGCTCGGAAATATCGAATCATACTACAGGACTAATAGAAAGACTGCTGGTACCTTTTTCACCGCTTGCCTGACGTCCCTTTGTGTTGTACGTGCGTGACAGAATGCTTAGACCAATAAATATCAAGTCGCGCTTGTCGGCAATATCTTTGAGCTTCCTCTGACTTCATCATCTAAAAAGCTTCTTATCAAACAACCTAAGAATCTCAGAATCTCAGAATCTCAGAATATCAGAACACCACAACTCAACCACAACATGACATCGTCTGACGACTCTTCGGATCTCTCCTCTGTGCCATCCGAGGATGAAAGTTTACAATTAACAAAAAAAGATGGTATTCTTAAATTCTTCTCAAAAGCCCCAAAACCAATTGCTGCACGTAAAATTGAGGCTTCTCCACCACGACCAAAGAGAGAACCATCACCACCTCATGAATATGTCTTAGCAGACAATCCAGATATCGCCGTACGTATAACTCTTATCGTCGCGTACTAGAGGATTTTACACGTACAAATCGCGTGGTTGCGGTGTTCAATGGTCGCTAACACTGATTCTATGCAGTTTATCGTCATGTTCCGTGCCCGGTTCAGTGAGGTATTCCCGAAATCCCTACCCAACTTTGGACCCCAAGAACTGGAACACGCTGTTGTTGGTACTACGCCTGGAGAGCATGCGGAACAACTTCTTTGCGCATTATTGGGACTTCTCTTAAATAGAAAGCAAGATGTGAAGTAGGTCATATTTGCGACATGTGTGCTGTGGCTCGCATTACTTCGAAGTTTCTGCAGAATCAATGGCTAATCACTTATCGAACACAGAGCTGGACATTATAACCGTGCCCTCGAGGAAGCTGTTCAAACACATAAACTACAATGGGCGAAGGATTGGGAGAGCAAGAACCCTCTTTCTGGAGGGGCAACGTTCACTTCTATGTCCCCCACAGAGCGTGTAGGTCACTTATACATTGTCTGCGAAGGATTGAACCTTGCTGATTTTGAATTATAGCTTACTCTATTACGTACCCTCATACTCTGGTCCTTAGCCTCCTCCGATGTGGTTAAGGGTATGATCACAGCCTCATACAAGCAAACTCGCCATGAAGATGATTTGAACCAACCACTTTCTGTACAGCCTTGGGGATCAGATGCCGATAGACGTCGCTACTATTTAGTGGAAGGTCTGGACGACACACACTTTAGAGTTTACAGGGAGAGCAACCATACTGGCTTGAAGAGAACTTGGTGGAGTGTTGCAAGTGATATTGATGAGTTGAAATTGTTAGCAGAGAAACTAGTCAAGGACGATGGTGGCCAAAAAGCCCGAACGCTAAGTGGGAAAATGCTTGCAGCAGTTCCACGGTTCGAGGCGACTGAAGAGGTATGGATTTCCTAGTTTCAGTACTTTCTCTTATTTTCGGATTTACTAACAATTTTATAGAAACGAAAGAGAAGAGAATATCGACAGGCTCGCAAAGAGCAATTTAAACGTCCTGAACCAAACTTCTCGATGTATGAAGGTCGTACCAGAGGAAAGCGCATGAAGTACACGTATTCGGACGATGAAGATGAGGTCTTTTCTGACACTACCGGATCCCGTCGTTCTACTCGAAACACTGGCAGCCACACCCCAGCTGAGCCAGCGGGCCTACTGTTACATTAAGTGGTCGTCAGGTTAGATCTCGTGTTGGTGGAGTTTATGGTGAAAGCATTGTCGGTGGAACGCATGCTGCTGCAGAAAGCCGTGGAGATGTCGAGCTGGGTGAAGAGTCAGAAGAGGTAACTTCTAGACCACGCCGTGCTGGTGCTTCCAGTCGCGGTCGTGATTGGGCTTCTAAGGGAAAGCACATTGAGGGATATAATTCAGTGGATGAAATGGACGACGATGAGGAGGATGATGCTAGTGAGCAAGATTATGGCGATGACGAGGAAGACGACGATCAGGTATCTATAGCAAGCGATATTGAGGAACTCGAAGAGGAGCCTGCAGAGGAGACCGATGGAATTGAACAAATGGAGGATGACGAAGAGGAGAAGAGGAGCTTGATTGTCAAGCTCCCGGTCAAAACTCCAACCCCGGAGCAGAAGACTACGATCAAACTTCATCTTAGCCCACAGTCTAAATCAAACTCGGACAGCGTAGCTCCTCGACAGGATTCAAGCCCACCTACATCTACGGAAGTCACCAGTGAAGGGAAGTCTATTTCGACCGAAGCCGATAAGAAAATCAAGCCGATTTCCATCACGACGAAACCAATTCAAACTCAACTCTCGCCTACTCTCACTTTCCGTGGTAGCCCTGAGAAAGTTTCCACCCTACCACCATCAATCAATGTCGGCTATGGTGGTTCTTAATGTTATAATACTTAATCATGATAGCGGGTATGGAAAAAGGCGTTGTTACTGACAAAAGGCGTAAAGTTAAAGGGAGGGTGATTTGCTTGGGTGGGAGCTACTAAAGCTGATCATTGGGTATACTTATGTTCTTCGATATACATAGTTATGTTCCAAGGCATATTAACGTAAGTATTTATGCTAGTCTTAGCTCATGACAGAATGGAGAAAATCTCATAGCTATTGTACTATAATTTTATGCCTACATGTATCTTCTCCATCCTATCACGATCGATCTCAAAAGCGCCTGGTACTTGTAAATTGATAGATGGCGTGTTGTGACGAGATAATACATCAAGTTGGTCTAGATCTTTTTGCTATCCCAATATATCAAATGCATCCTCACAATATGTAGTTCCATCTACTCGAAGACCTCAATTTAAACCAGTAATTTTTCAATAGATTGTCCCAAACGCCGCCCATGCAAATGCCAATTCCATTCCTCAAAATATCTCATTCATCATTCATCAGCTCAATCTCCAGCAGAAGCTTGAGTCTTATAATACTGCCCAAATCCATCAGCAACGAAAAGTTAATAAAGCATCGCGAGGGGACTCACATCCCCCAATTCCGCCGCCAATTTCGCATTCTTTCCGATCTCTGCTATCTTCTCCTTGATCGGCCAGTTGTTAACCGTGTACCACCATCGACGGACTCGGGCGCCGGCACTGTTGCCACTAAGTTTGGCATTCTTGTTCCAGTGCTTCCAACCAGCCCAGAGGAGGGTCACAGCAATGCCTTGAATGAGTGGCATGCATAACTAGGAATAAGAATTAGCCTGCGTATTACACATTTTTCAGAGGAGGAACAGGTAACTGTTGGGAAAGAAAAAACATACTTGATCTCTAATCGTTATGAAAGCAACCTTCCAATATGAATCCGCATGTGCAATACTAGCCAAATAACTCTGTTCAAATCGTAAATCGGGTATTGGTGGGAAACTCGCTCGCCGTGGCAATGGTCTTATAACATCGTAGGGAATATCTTCCATTTCTTCCTCGCCATCGATACTATCTTTATCATCGAATGCGTAGTCTGGATGAACAGTTACGGGCTCTTTGCTGGAGGCGGCGGTAGTGGGATTTATGTCATGGTTGGGAGATGGATCGCGCTTTATTGAGGCACTTTGGATTGTAGATGCTATCTCGAGGGGGCAGAGGAAGACATCACAGAATAATGGAATTTATTGGTGTAGATATCTGAACTTCAATTTGGTGGTGTTGATAGCTTTGAAGTTGTTCGGTGGAATTTGCCGGGCTCCGACGTTCTGATTCTTCTGGTGAAGTAGAACAAAAAAATCACACCACTGATATGAGATACAATTTTCCCTCAATTCCAACTGATATGATCCGGAATACTATGTTTCTAAAGCTGTCTACACTATCTATACTATATCCTTTTACTCTCTTCTATGGTCGTAGTTTGACTTAAGATTTCAATTACATGCATCTTCAACCTGAAATACTCCTTATGAAGTCACCTACTCCACAGGCTACAGCCTCAATCATTTAACGGTGCTCGGGGTGTCAGATGGTACAGACTTGCAGATTAGATGTGTCAATATTTAAATAAAATCCAACGTTCAAGGTGGGTTGAATTTTTAAGACAACTTGAAAGTTTCAATTGTGTTTAGGAAATGGAATTGTGTTCAGAAAATGGGAGGGAGGCCTTTCGATGTTATATGCAGACCAGGCTGATGAAAGCCCTGGCGGTGCTTGCTTTAGCAAATGGTGGTACTTAGTGGACCACTCACTATATTGGCGGAGAAAATACAGATTTTACCATGTTCGTGCAAGGTTGTCAGAACCTACAGGCGCTTGTCCCTGGATGGAAAGTAACGTACATCACATACCTAGGTAGACTATGTACTCTGTCTATTGGTTACACACGATCTGGACCAAATACATAGGTACTTGCTACTTCATATGGTAGCTTGAGAATTCACAACTTTAAAATCCAGGTCATTCCCAGACTGCCCTGTCTTGACTTTGAATTCTAATCTCTCACGCTTTTTGCTTCATTTCACAATGCCTCAGAACTCTGAAAATGCTTCTTCAGGGATGCCTTCCCCATACGGCAATCCCGTAGCCATCAAACACCAGCAAAAAGCCAACCCTGATTTGCCTGACCACTGCTACCAAGTTTTCCAGAAATCTCTACTTGAGCATGAATACCATCACGAGGAGGCATTCGTCTCTGCTAGTCTCACACGCCTTCATCATGGAGTTTACGATGCTGGGAAACGATTGAGTCTTTATGGACCTCCGCCACACAATGTTACCTTTGTAGCCGTTACGTTTGTATTTCATCCCATGCACTCGATTGAGTATAGATTCAAAAGGGCTCAGATTAGCATCCAAGCTTTTAAAACTATCGGGGAGAAGACTACAAATCAGCCGCTGAAAATTATCAAATTTGCTCCACATATTGCTTTTGGTCGATATTCGACGGAAAACTTGCATTGGACTTTCTCTTTGGGTTAGTAATGAAGCTACACTTTGATGGCATCAGGAATATATGAATTTGGTCGAGCAGTGAGAGACGCTTAAGCTTAAATCGCAGTCTGTAATAGTTCGGACTGCAGTTCAAATCCGAAACTCCATGAACCTCTTTAGACAGGCTCGGTGTTAAACTGAACAATGAATAAGCCGGCATTGCTTAGTTGCAGCCTAAACTATTGAGATATCTTAATTTGGCCATTTAAGAAACGTTTCTGACCTGCTTTCAGGTGCAACACTAGGGGTCTCTACGCCAGCGACTGCAACGGTCACCCCATCCACTGAATACGATAGATCAAAAGTCATCGGTAATATGTTAAAGATACAGGGTTCAACTCGATCTGCTGAAGGAATGCAGAGCAGCAAACTTGTTTGGTCGCTTGAAGAGAACGAACAGCAGTGCACTGGGCTCCCTCGAGAATTCACCTTTGTCTTCTTGGTTGAACAGCCAGTAGCTAAAGCACCATTCTCCTTGCAGATTGGAATCAAGCCTGTCTTCTCAAATAGTCTCAAAGCTTGTAGCTTTGGCACCGAGATCACGAAGAAGTCTGACATATTATCAGATGAAGTTGGTCAAATGTATGTTGCTTCTTATTAGAGGTTATAATAACGAAAACTTTCAGTGGTGAAGGTGTCTCTCCAATCAATTATTGACCTTCGTGGCAGGTTTTCCAGTAGTCCATATGCATTTAATTTTGCTACCATGCTTGGACAATTTGAAGATTTGGTGGAGCTACCAGGAAATGCCTCGAGCATTCAGGTAAGATTTTTTTGCCATAGAGAGGTTATAATATTGACATGCTTGCAGGATTACATTGGTTCAAGTGTCCCCGGTGCTACTCCACCGTCTTCATAGTAACTAGGATCTTTCATCTTGAAAATCACTATTGGACTGTTTGCAGTAATGAGTATCCTACATTGCAGCTACCACATATTTTCTTTGGTTGTGTTCCTGACCTCTTATCATATTTGACCTGATGTTAATCACTTTCTGCAACTGCGTGTCAATTGGTCTCCTCCCTCCTTCTGTGCATATTTCGACAGTTCATTTAAATAAAACATTGTCAGGATACATTCGTTGTACTGTAGTTAACCCAACGTATTGCTCGCAATATTGCGGTGGGACCAGAATTTCAGGCGTAGAATCTCGCTTTGGCGCATGGCCCCTTTATCACATGCTTTTGTGGCTGCAATTACTGCTTTCATTAAACAATATAATCCATAAACATCCACTAAAGACTTCCATACTTCATCCCATGTAATGGTCGATTTTCCTGCACCGCAAAGGTCTGTAGGACGTCCTCGCAGATTGTCCCATATGTCAGAAATATCTCGATGTGAGAGAGGCTCTTTGAAGGCTTTCATCATGGCGTCTCTATACTCCTCCAAAGATTTATCCATATCCATATGTCCATCTGATCTAAATGATCGAAACGTCAAAGGTGTGGTGTTAGATACCAATGCATTGAAGCCATTAGAAACCGAAGTAGGCTTGAAGGCGAAACCATAATGTGGGCCTTGAATATAGACCAGATCTCCCACGTTCCACTTCCAAGTAGAAGGTCGTATGTAGTTGCATTGAGTCCAGGACATAAAATAAACGGAATCGAAAGTAATCCGGATGCGTTACTTTGGTGACTTCCTGGAGTCATTTTCATGGAGCCAATTCCATAGTTTCTTGGATCCTAGAACCTGCTTATAAGCTCAGACAAACGCAAGTACGATAGCAAGGGAACAATCTGATATTAGTGTTTCAGACTCCGATGGTAAAATAATCTTGATAGCGGCACTAAGGTTTTCTAAGGCTATATCTTCTGAGATATACCCACTCTCGATCCCATATGGACCAATCAGTATTATAATTAATATATGATAGTAATATAACGACTGATATCGGATTTATACTACATACAAGTATATACATAAAAATCATATCACTTATTCCAATACATATTAGTCTAATTCAATAATACTGATGATATTCGCAAATATTAAAACAAGTTTCTTGTAAATCCTCCTTTCAAGAAACACTATAGAATATATTTAAACTAGGGATATTTAATAAATTGAGTGTTATTTCATTTAGATTAGGAAATAATACTTGCTATACAGGCTCTTACCACTACACTCTCTGTATGAACGTGGGTGAATGACTTCAATTCAATGGCTACTGTATTGAGCTTTAGGCGAATGCGAAAGAGACTAGCTCTTTCAGTAGTACCTATATAAGGCCTACTACTTTCTATACATAGCTAGCTCTTTAGACAGAATACAATATAGACAATTAGGACCTACAGTTCGTAGGTGCTACGTCTTTCGTATCCTTCTCAAACCAACACTCTCAAATCTTTTATATTATCAAATCGAAATATTACAAAGTATTTTATATACTTATTTATTAAAATACGGAAAGCTTTTTTAGCTTACAAATATATAATAAAATATTCTCTGATTCCTAAAACAATATATAGGGGGTATAAAGTAGTTCAAAATCTGTAATGAATTTGTATTAAATCGCTCAAAGTTCTTTAATTCTTTTTTTCTATTAGAATTTTTATATAGGTATATCCTTCTAAGCCTCCTCAAAATATACCTATTTTGAATCGAATTCACAATGTCACGATCACATACTAGAGTATGTTATAGAGGTCAAATAACTAGAATAAAAAAGATAAAAAGGAAAGAGATCCTTAAGGGATCTCTTTACCTCTTATATAATAACAATCGCCTTAGTTTAAGCTAGCCTTGAGCTAGGGTTGTGATGAGTCATCACTATGTCACGTGATATTCGTCACAAAAGTTTAATAAATTTATCTAATTATAATATTATAATTTGAGGGAATTCAAACATTAATCTATTTATTTGAATAACTAACAATAGCTTTAAATTTATTATATTCAAATAAATTAAAAGAAAAAGAATAATATATAAATAAACAAAATCAGTTTTCTTATTAATTATTCTTTTATACATAAATCTTATTATATTGTATATATTTGTAAGAGTTTATTTAATAATAATTTATATATATTATTAATACTTTTTTTAAGAGATAATTTATCAATTTGATATTGAAATTAAAGATAGATTAATATAATATATATTCTATCTATTTCAAAATATCAAATCTTATAATAATAATATCTTTATTATATATGGCCTTTTAAATCGAAATAGATTATTTAGAGATTTTCATTTAATATATATTTTTATACTCATACTCATTATTAATAAATTAAATTAAAATATTAATTAATAAATAAATCTAGGAATTTAATAAAGAGTGAAGATTTGAGTTATATAAACTTCTTTTAAGAACCTGATATTAATAATAATAAAAACAATATTAAATTGTTTGTATTATAAAATACAGAATTAATATTATTTAAAATATTAAAAATATATATAGAAAATACAATAGAATAAGATTTAAGTTTAAATTCAAATAAAGATTAATATAAAAATTGATAATATATAGTTTTGATATAAATAATACTTAAGCTAAATATAAAAAAAGACATAAAATCACTAGAATTTCAATATCTTTTTCGATTCCAATAATATCAAATTTATTATAAAAATATATCAAAATCTGCTTAGAAGATTAAAATGTATTAGAATTAATGAAAAAATTAATACTATTAAAGATTTTGATCAAATCCAAATTAATGTTATAAAGGGATGATTTGAAAGTATTTTAAGATTAATGGAATAGAGCAAGGACATCAAAATTAAGTGATCCAGCGAATCCCGTACTAATAATAACTTCGTATTCGTGAATATTGGTGCTACTTAAATGCTCATGCAGACCTAACTCAAGTGTTAACGTAGCGTAAAGCAGAGGATATCTTCGTCCAAGTTCTAACATAGGCAACAGAGCACTAGAGTGCCAGGAAGTTGAATAAGCAGGGTCAGTTATATGATCTTGATGAAAGCAGATAAATACTACGAGACGCTTAAATTGTAGGTTGGGGCTGTTGCGAACTTGTATCCCAAGGGTGTCAACGTCCTTCATGCGATTTTATATATGACCATTGGAGAAGGATGGATTGTGTCTTCTCTGGACTGCGAATCGCCATATAAATAGATTCAATAAAGTGGAGTACTATAAGAATGGATTGAGTCTTGAAGAATATATTTTGTAGCAGATGTAGTGCCTGCTTCTAGTGTAAACGAGGTTACCTCTCATCAAACTGAAGAACCAAACAAGATTCTTGTATAACCAATCACACAAACCGGCACCCAAACTTGAATTTTAGTTAAACGCCATTGGTATCACTACTCCCATTGTTTCATAACCGACATTAAAGTCCATCACAGTCCTACGTCTCCTTAGCATGTTTTGTCTTGAATATTCTTAAGGGTAGCTTGCAGCACCGCCGCCACGTTTGTTGCTCAAGAAGTGAATAGCAGTTGTTCCAACAAAGCAGGCCGCTGTGAACCATATGAATGCCGTGCTTGCTTGAACTTCTTGGCATCTAGCCTTGAGGTCATCCTTCACAGCTTTGACAACATCACCGGAATATTCTTTGTATTCACCAGGGAACATTGGATTGGGATGGTCTTTGATATAATTCAAATCAGAACAGCTGCCGACCTTGATAGTCGCGGCATATGCCTAGGTAAGGAGTCTATTAGCAAGAGCTGAAATAACACGAAGAGAATGACAACTAACAATGCCACCAGCAAGGAGAAAGAAAGATGCAATGCCGTCAAGAGCAAGCATTATGATGCCTTGCAAAGCTTCCACGAAACAAGCAGCAACCCCAATGGCAGCAAATATAAGAGCAGCTCCACCACAGAAAGACCCATAAGATGTAAGGGACCACGAAGTACCCGGGCCATAACCATGAATCAAAACTGCGGATAGTGCTAGAACGATAGCAGCGAACAGCATCTGAGGGGAGTTAGTGAGACGATCTTTATACCGCAAGATTCGGCAAGAGGCTAACCTGGAGAACACGGAGGGCTAAAGTGACAATCATGTTGGCTTGTATGTAGGGTGCTAATTATATTGAAGTATTAAGATTTTTAGATATGAATTGGTTGAGAAAGAGCCACTTGATTGAGTACACTGTATATTATATAGTCAAGCTCCACAAAGTTTAGCAGGGAAGCGAGTCAAGATCACCAGGCTAAGATCAGGGATTGTCATGTCGTTGAGGATAAGATTTCAGTAACGTAGGGAAGGTAAACATCTCATAGGGAGAATCCCGCCTCCATGAACACAGCCTGTACAGCGAGCAAGAAGCCTCACTGGAGGATTGCGGCACAGTGTTTCATGAACTATCCCATAATCAGTAAACCATCGACGAAATTGATGTCCAATATCAAGTCATGAAATGAATCTTGCTGCAGTGTAATTGGTTTGAGCGCTTAGACGTATGGAGATGTGCGTATGTGACTCTAAATCAAGCGTAAAAATTTTGACGTCCTCCTCGAATTGGATAAGTGGTCCGAGTTTTGACGGGTGCTGCCTTGGCAGATATACACCCGAGAAACAAAGACGTTACACTCACAACGTCGTACGTGTTGGATAGGTAGACAACACACGCCTATTTGACGAATATGCATGTGATTCATGCAGATGATTCAAACCCCAACAGTAATCAACATCAGGGCAAAACGTCAATAGCTCTAACAGTGGTCAAACAGAATCTGCAATGATTGAGAGAATACCCATCGAGAGAATTCTGTACTCATCAAAATTTCCGAAACATGGGGGAATGGTGCTGGGCCACCATCCAAAAATACATATAAGATTAGATCCATGTATCAATACACCGTGGACTTGACAGATGTGTTCTAGGTAAGCCAAGCCCTATTGATAACATGAATAAGAAATTCAGCCTCACCGGTTCCCATATGAGCAGGAACCGGGGCCAAGAATAGATGAAAATTTGCGAGTGTACATAAGGTTTCATGGGGATTGTTTGGTATGAGTGAGATACAACCAAGCTTTACCGTAAAACTCGACCAATAATCGAAATCAGTCAGATCTTAGAAGTGCTCCCTTGAATTAATTTCAAAAGTCGTTCGAGAGATGAAACATTGACAAACGGTTGGATCCGTTGGATTTATCCCCTAGACCGCTGACTAGCGGCGCCGGTATGTGGCTCATGCACTAAGCAAGAATATCAATAACTTTGTAGATAATATTAATAATAAGGAAATCAATAAATATGCTATATATATTTATTTCGTTAATATAGTCTCAAATGATATAAAATTTGATTCTATTAATCAAAGAATACTATATTTAGATATTGCTTCTATTTTGTAAGTAGGAATTTATTTCGAATTTATAAGATATATCAATTTTGATCAAAAACTTCTTCTATTAATTAATATTTAATATTATAATATACTCATTCTATTTTATTTTTATTTTTCTATCAAAATAATAGAATTAATTATAGAATAAACGAATTTATATATATAAATATTGAAAAGCAAAGAATTATTAAATTTGCGAGTATATTTATAGTATTTTATTATAATGAATAAAGTTTATCTATATATATATATATATATATATATATCGATTTATATTAAATTTAAGATTAAAATCTATTAGAAATATAGAAATAAG